CCCCACAATTTGTGTCCTAGCAAGCAGATTCTCCTGGAAGGAGAGGTGGGGGAAAGAAGGGGGCTTCTCATTCTTCAGAGCCCCTTTGCTTTAGCAGGAACCAGAGAAACCCACAATAAGTAGGTTTGCTGTTCATGGAAAAGGAGCAGCTGATCTTTTATACAGCTTGCCTCTCCGCGAGATTCCTTTTTGCGGGTCCCACCACCCTCTGGTCTGCTGGAACGACTTTCAGAATACAGGGAACAGTCACTCAATTTACCTGATCAAAAAGTTGGTGCTGGGCAAGGTATCCCACACTGTCCTGGAATTACAGCAGAGAGAGAAAATTTACTTGGGGGCAACATCCATGTCCCAGGTCCTGTTGCAGCGTTCCAGAGTGTTCCAACAGCTGGTAAGTGTAAGGGGTCTTCTGAAACTGTCACTTCCAGCTACACTGAAACTGTAAGTGTCGATGTATCCCCACAAGCAACAAACCATCTAGCTGGAGCTACTGGTTCTTCCAGCCTGGCTACAATCCTAAGGAGACTCCACAATTCCGCTGTCAATCCTGGGACAACGCTCTGTCCTTAGAGCCAGACCCTGCTGGTGCACAGAGCAGCCCCCATCACCCCCTGAAAGCATCCACGCTGCCCGTGGGCCTTCCTGCCAGAAGGAAGCAGAACTGAGGCTTCTCCTGGGCCGTGAAAGTAAAAGGACACTCAATCGCCAATGAGCCTCATGGTTTTCAGCTGGGGGCACGTGACTTTGGACCCTGACCTGAGACCTCACTAAGCAGTTTAATCACCAAGAGGAGCTCCACCTCTGGCTGGGGATCCCTTATCCTCACACTCCACCATTCAGGCTTCTGCTGCAAAAAGTTTTCATCAAATTCCAGCTGCTGTACATCCAATTTTTACCTATCATCAAGCCTAGTTATTGTCGAAATAACTATTTATGGCTTCGGAGCTTGAAAATATGTCCAATCTTTTAATTCAGAGCTGCGCTTACAGCATACCCCTCCCCCGACATCGCCTCCACGCATGTCTGTTGTAAGCGGAAGCGGCACGGGTGCGACGCTGCCTTAGAGATGGAGCAGGGCGAGGGTAACAAACCTTGTTCACAATGTACTGGTCGATGAAGTCGCGGACAGTCATGAGCTTCTGAGACCATTCCTCATCTGTGTACCGGGCACCCAGTTCCACAGGGACTGTGCGGCACCCTGCGACTCGACAGAGATAGTCCACACTGAAATAAAGAAAGTTCCGTTACCTTCTGTACCTCTTCTTACCAATGTGAGGCGATCGGTCAAAATCAGTTGTTCAGAATCACAGAACTCCCCTACCGTGAGTTTCTTCTCTAAACCCAACCAGTCAGAGACAAAAGGCAGCGGGGAGGATGCAAGGATCAAGCACTCAAACCTGTCTGCCCAGTTAACTATCGCTTCCTCAGCTGAGGTAATTCCAGCTCTTGCTGTCTCTTGACCAGGGATGGCTGAACTTTCTTCCTGCCCGCTGCCACGTTTGCTAAACGGCATGTTCCGTCCTTTTACCACCAGTGCCAGATCTGCTGTCAGTGCCCAATTCTGCGCACAAGCGCCAGCAATACCCATCCGGGCTAATGTCCGAGGAATTACCGCGACGGGCGGTTTCCGTCTCTCCACTGACGGTATCAGCTAAATGAAGTTCACCTTTTCAGGTGTCTGAAGTTAAGCAGTGGAGCACCCTCCCTCAAAGCAAGGATAAAACTGTGATGAAACACGCGCGATCACTAAATGTCATAGAATCACAGACTGGTTTGGGTTGGAAGGGACCTTAAAGACCATCCAGTTCCAACCCCCCTGCCATGGGCAGGGACACCTTCCACTAGACCAGGTTGCTCCAAGCCACATCCAGCCTGGCCTTGAAGACATCCTTGAAGAATGTCCATTTTACCCATGGCTGTACAAGAAAAGCAGCCGCTCAAACAACACGTCAGTGTTTTTTCCCCTTTTCTCAGGGATCGCGAACGTTCTCTCACACACGTTCGATTCTCAGTACGGGGAACGCTGGCTCCGTTGCACCACACAATTACTCACGCTGGAGCGGCCGTGTCTGAAACTCGACACACAGCGACGGCACCGAGCAAACATCAGTGCTCGTCCTTGTGAACGGAAGAGCCAGCCGTGGTACCCCCGCATCTCTGAGACTCTCTCCGCTGCAGTAATTATCAGCAAGTTCCCAGACGTAAGACCCGCTGGCCCGTCTGACACAGACCCACGGCAGGGCCCTGGGGCAGCGCTGCCTCCCAGCACCGTCCTGCCCAGCACCGCGTTTCCCTGCCGCGGCACGGCGTGCGATGCTCGGGGTGCGCTTCCTCCTCTGTGGAGGAGCTTGTACGGGGCACGGAGAGCCGTGACCAGGACGGTGCCACCAACAAGCGGCTCCCGTCCTCGGGGAAGGCCTGAGCATCACGACCCCGGGACCCTCGCCTCGCAGGCTGGGGCGGACACCCCCCTCACCTCCACTTCCCCATGCAGGGCCAGTGGTCCATGACGCCCTCCAGCACCAC